TGCGCAAGCTCATCAATGGTCACAAAAAATATTGGCAAATCGATCCTCACTAAGGGAGTTTCCTTCTTAGCCAACCAGGACATCAACCTTTCAGCCTCACTCTCACCAATTTCTTCATTCCCATCTGCAATCGTACCATTCTCAGCCCCAAACGTGTTAAAGTTTTGAGGCTCGACTGCCATTGCACCAGAATTAGGCCTACTAATATTGTAATTACGAGGCCCAACCCCAAAATTGACTCTGCCCATACTGAAAACACTAAACCCAACCCACTTCTGAACAGAATTTCGGGATTCAGCCTCAAAATCGCCGGATTTCGCATCGGAATTCCCCGTCCTAGCCATCATCTCGCCGGAGCTAGCCCCAATGGCGTCAAAATCACAAAACCCAATCTTAAGGGCGTTGGAATTCATGGACCTCACTCCAATTCCGCCGGAATCTTCCTCCGTTGCATCGGAACCAACCCCTTTGACGCTGGAATCGCGAGACCCGGTCCAAACAGTAGCCAAATCGTCGAGCCCAGCCTCCGTCACGCCGGAATCTGTCTCCGTAGCACCGGAACCTGCCCCTTCCACGCCGAAATCGCGAGGCCTGGTCCAAACCGGGCCGGAATCAGCCCCAACCGCGACCGAATCAGGGCTGGGTTCCCTATTCCGAGGGTGCCCATGCTGTCCCAGCCTCGAAGCAAGCCTCTCCTCCTCTAACTCCGGCTCCCACTCCACTTCCCGTCGCCGACCAAGCTCCGCCGCCCTCTCCCGACGGTCGCGACCTCCTTCTGCCCTCCTCCTGTCATCGAACAAACCCTCGCGCTGCAGATCTGGACCACCCAGCCCTAGATCGCAACGGATCTCGCGCTCCTCCATGAGACCCACGTCTCCGGCGTCGGAACTCCTTCTCGCGGCCTTGATCTTCTCGAATCGGTGCTTCCCGGTGAAGATCCGCCTAATTTGGCACCTCCACTCCGCCTGGGTCGACGCGATCTAGGCTCTCCTCGCCCCGAGGTGCGCGATCTCGGCTCTCCCCGTCCCGTCATTCACCGTCGCGACCCAACTTGACTTCCCCGGCCATCGGCCGCACCGCCAGCAGTGCCTCCATCCTCCGCAGCGCTGCCTGCACGTTACCCATCTGGGTCCGAATTTCCCCACATGGGCCTGGAGTTCCCCCATACTCCCTCCAGAAACCTCGTGATTAGCTCTTAGAGCAGCCCGAAGTTTCTCTCTCAACTCAAAGAGCTCTGTGGATCGTAGATGCTCTGATACCATTGTTAGGATCCTGAAAATCTATGCTTCATTAACAATACTAGAAATGGAAAATTACAAGATAGATGGGCGGTTTCGAGGACCCCCGACCTCTAAAATAGTGCACAGCACTAGACACTCTACAAATCTGATTCCCTCCTCCCTGGCCACTAAACCCCTTATTTATACTCTCCTTAAGACTATTAAAAAAGACTTCTAAATATTAGGTTCCTAACAGTGAACTTGAAGAAAAATTAAAAATTAGAAAATGCTAGTTAAGAGAAAACCTATCCAGAGCCAAGAGATTTTTGAGGTTGTCCTATTTATGTTAAAAAATTGGATTGGTCGGAGTAGGACTAGGATTCCTTTGTCTTGCATGTTTAGGCCATTTTATTTGGTAGTGCGATTTAAAACACCTTTATAGCTTGATATAGTAGTTACCTAGGGCCCGTTTAGTTCGCTGATTCGAGTTTTTAATTTGAGTTGAGATGTGATTTTATGTGAGTTTTTTACTGTAGCAAAAAAGTTAAATGTGATTGTTTGTGAGAGCTTTTTACTGTAGCAAAACTCGAATTCTAAACTCGAATCAGCGAAATGAACGGGGCCCTAGATTGGCCTTCATCTGATGTCGAAGTAAATGCATGTCAGGATTGTTAACGTCAGGACTCAGGATTATTGGTCGAAGTAGCATAAAGCATAACAAGAAAGTTCCATTATTCTTATAATCTTAACTTAAAGTGACTGCTTTAACTGCCTTCTTAAAAAAATATTATTTGTGGGATGCATAATCCGTGCTTTCTTAAACATCCAGTTAGACTTATCCATGATTCAGTTACTCAAAGAAAGCTTAATGTTAGTCTTTTAAATGCGCAATTTCTTTACAGGACCTCCGAAGAAAGCTTCCAGTTACTCGAACCCTATTTCCCTGGCACAACACCATGCAGTTTAGCTTGACGAGAGACATCAGCAAAGAACTTGGCATTGGAAAGTGAATCTGCAGCGTGAGATTTGTTTACTTAAAGGAATTCTTCATAGACGGCGTGTTCTTGAGCCCATTTGTATCTTGATTTTTTAATCATTATTAGCGCTGATGGCCGCTTTTCCTCCCTACCTCTCAAGTCGTTGGCCTCGCAAACTGTCATCGGTTGAAGGAGCTTCTTTCTGTCTCAGTTTTGGTGCATTGTATTCTATTGTCAAATTTCGGGTTGGTGTAAAGCAGTGAATTGTTCTGGCTGTGTTTTTTCTTCTTTTTTTTTCTTTTAATTTTATTCCTTATAAGAAAAGAAAAATTGGAATTGGAAGATAGTGAGAAGTTTGTAATGGATGATAAAGTGGCTTAAAAAGTCTGCTGTTCTTTAATTGGCATTTGTTACAACTTACAAGTGATAGCAAGAATTAAAGATAGAGTTTTGTACTCTGTAGATATATATATATATTTGTTTTTTGTTTTAGAGGACTGGCTAATGAGCTAAATTATATCTACGAAAAATCAGCTGGGTTATTTTGAAACATAATTGAACCAAAAAGGCAGATGAAATAAATAGAAGGTAGGCCTGTTCCGTTGCCGGGAATCGAACCCGGGTCTCCTGGGTGAAAGCCAGATATCCTAACCGCTCGACGACAACGGATTGTTGGACGTTAGGAAAATTATTAAATAACTTAGTCGATGTTCAGTTCAGAGCGCCCCTAGGAAAATTATTATAACTTAGCCATGAGATTTGAGTTTTCAATTTGAGTTAATATGTGATTTTATGTGAGTTTTTTTTAATAGTAAAAAAAATTAGATGTGATTTTTTATGAGAGTTTTTAACGGTAATAAAACTTAAATTGAAAACTCGAATCAGTTAAATGTACGAGATCTTAAACATTAAGGTAATTGGCATAAATATTCCCTAATCTCTTGAGTATGTGACACTTTAGTCCCTATTCTTTTAATCTTAACAAAACGGTCCCCAAGCTCCTAAATCATTGGCAATTTAAAGCATCGTTCATTTCACCGATTTGAGTTTTTAGTTTTAGGTTTCTACAGTAAAAAGTGTTCAGAAAATGTTACATTTAATTTTTTTTGTTACAGTAAAAAACTCTCAAAAAATGTCACATCTCAACTCGAATTAAAAACTCGAATCAAAGTGAAAGTGAAGGAGAGCTAAGCCTTTCCGTCAATTTTCATTCATTTTCCCCATTACATAAGCTCATTTTGTGGTGAAAAAACCAGAATATCCCCCATTAGAAAGGACACATTGGACAACTTTTATTTTTATTTTTTTATTTTTAAATAAGAAAATGCAAAAGAACGAAGCTACCTTCTTGATCAGAACTCGAGAATTCTCATCAATATTCAAACCCAAATTCTTAATTTGGTTGCCCAGAATCATCGACATCAACACCAACATAACTCACATATCAAACCCATGGATAAAATTATATTAAACATTAACAAATATAAGGCCCACTAAATTGAATTTGTCATTTAGCACATTCGGTGTGCAGTCTTGGACATGGCAGCAAGACGGCGGGCTGGTTATTAGACCTAACTCGCAACGTCCAGCTCGCGACGGGAAGATGAGGGCTTCGTCTTGCTGCGGTAGGTCCAACTCGGGACTGGAAGGACGATTCAATGTCAGGACAATTGCGGCAGCTCCTCCAAAATCCCTCTCCTCCGCTAAACCCTTGAACTCCACCTTCCTCCATGACCACTGGATCTCCACCTCTTGTCGTCACGATCCAAATCTATCATCGCAGGCCAGAGCCGCCGTGATCTCGGTCGTCCCTCCCGTGGCAACAGAACGATTAATGAAGTGTAGGCAGAGGAATTAAAACAATCGAATTTTCTAAGTTGAGTGAAGGAGAAGGTGAGAAATTAGAGAGTATAAATGAATTAGAACGTTGCAAATAGTAAAAATGCTCAATGATTCAAAGATGGGCTGTTTTGGGATGAAGACGAAGCAATTGCATTATTTTACTTTTTATTTTTTTAAAATAAATTATGTAGTTTACTAAAATGCCCTTTATATTCAATCTCATGCATTGCACATGACCTATTCCGTTAAAAAAATAACGGAAATAGGCGTAATTATTTAAATTATCAATGATTAAGGAGTTTAGGGGTCATTTTATCAAGATAAAAAGAGAATAGAGACTAACTATCACTTAGTCAAGAGATTAAGGATTATCTGTGCCAATTATCCCAAACATTAATATTGGAGATTATTGCAAAGACCAATATAATTGGTTGGCAATTTTGAACACGACACAGTGATATGATAAATACAAAAATAATACGAGCTAAATAGATTTGGGCCGCATTTTTATTAATTGGGTTATTAATGAGTTGGCACGAATAAAATGAAAATGAATAAATTGGATTCATACCAGCCCGTTTAACATACTTGACACATTTATATGTGATGACTTACTAGTATCATATATATTTGAATTTAGATTTTTTATGTATGTTAAATATTATGAAGATTTGGAGAATTTATGCTTTTATTATCATGTAGTTACTTAATTTAATCATAAATTATATTTAGCAGTCAATTATAGTAGTTTTGAATATAAAACAAAATTCCATCTTTTTTGTTCATAAAAAAATCCACCATTTTTATTAATTTGGTAATAAACGTGTTCTATATGGGTCAACTTTTCATGGCATGTTTAATGAATGTGTTTGTGTGTCGTGTCATGCTATCCATGTAATAAACGATTCATGATCTTATTTAGATTTTTGACACGTTTATTAATCTTGTCATGTCATAATCGTATCAGTCCGGACACAATAAGTGAGCATTGCCAATACAACATATGTATGTTTTGCGCAATAAAAAGAACCTGCAATTTACCATTAATTAAAGCACCAATTACATTAATAAATTCTTGGGAGGTTGATCTTTCTCCACCTAATGACCTCATTAATCATTATGTAACACTATAATGAGATTATTTGCTGAATGATGAGCTGCCTTATTGTTATTGGTAGGGGTGACAATTCGTGTCACGTGTCGTGTTCGTGTCGTGTTTTAATTATTTTTTTATAAATTTACAGTCAATCCGAACACGACCCGTGACACGAAATTTTTTAAAAATCGCAACACGAACACGACACGACCACTTTACGAGTTGACAGACACGACCCGAAAATGACCCGTGACACGAAATTGACCCGTGAACCCGAAATTGACACGAAAATTATATACTTTTATTTAGTTTTTTACATATTAGAAATAACTTAAAATTCATAACACACTAAATTACAATAACATCCATTGAAATTAAGCAAATAATAATATAAGATTTTGAGTATAACTATCATGATATCACAAGTTCATAATAAAATTTAAAATATGAAATGAAAAATATATGTATTTTTTTTGTTTTTTACGAGTTTCGTGTCGTGTTCGGGTTAGGCGGGTCCAACCCGAAATTGAGCCGTGTTTTTCGTGTCAATTTCAGGTCGACCCGATTCTGACCCGAACCTCTTTTTTCTCAACCCTAACCCGTAAAATTCATGTCGTTTTCGAGTCGTGTCGTCGTGTCGTGACCCATATTGCCGGCCCTAGTTATTGGCCTCTCTAGCGACTACAAATGCGACTAACTTTAGGTATGGGAAACCAAAAAAGATAACATATTGACTACATCTACTATTAGCTTCCCAAAATCATAATAAAAGTCTATCTATAAGAGTCATTGATTCAAAAGGTTGAACTTTGTCAATGCATCCGACTACACATATTCGAGATTAAGACCAACATTACATACCATTGCAAAAAGATAAAAAGCGTCTTTCCCTCTACACCCCTTTGATTGAGAAGATTAATAAGGTAGGTGGAAAGGGCAACGATAATGTCCTCCATTTTAGTAAAAAATAAATAAAATAAATAAAAGGTTTATCTCACAAATGGTTTATGAAGTTTATCTCTAATCTCATTTTAGTCTCTGAATTTTAAAATATCTTACAATTAGTTTGTAAGGTTTTATTCTGTTTTAGTTTCAATTCTTTCTTTAATTAGGTGTTAAATATTTGACGTAATTTGTTTAAAATTAGAAACAATTAAAATTGATAGACTCTGTAGAAATTAACTTTTGTTTTTGTATTATTTTAGTCCATAAACTTTAGATGTTTTTAATTTTGTTCCCTAATTTTCATAAATTATGTCAAATATTTAACAATTACCTAACAAAAACACTACATATTTTATGAAAAAAAAAATCTTGTAAATTTCTATCTCATAAATACTAATCTTGGAAAAACAATATATGTTATGAAAATCAAAAAAATCTTCTAGAGTACAATATAGAAATTATAAATACTAATCTTAGAAAAACACAATAATATTTTATGAAACTATAAAACAAAACGAGAGAAGAATATTAATCTTATAAATTTCTATCTCATAAATACTAATCTTAGAAAAACAATATATTTTAAATCGAAAAAATATTGTAATTTTTTAGATAGAAATTATAAGTACTCATCTTAGAAAAACACAATATATTTTATGAAAATAAAAAAATCTTGTAGATTACAATATAAAAATTTTAAATACTAATCTTAGAAAAACACAATTATATTTTATGAAAAAATAAAACAAAACGAGAGAAAAGCTTTTCGTTGCCAGAAATCGAACCCGAGTCTCCTAAGTGAAAGCCATACATCCTAACCGTTGGATGACAATGGAATTGTGTTCTCTAATTGAGAAGATTAATAAGCTATGTGGAAGGAGTAACAATAATTCTCCTCCATTTTAACAAAAAAATATAATGTTGCCAATTCAAAACTCAATTTTTAAGTACCAACTTATATGGTATGTGATGTATTATTCCACTTTATATTCTAACTCTTCACTTTTAATTTAATTCTTATTTTTTTAATAATTTCTTAAACCAAACATGACTTTTCAAATTCATTCTAAACAAATTAATTTACTTTCTCTTCCCAAGATGACCTTTCAATTCTATTGTATTTCTGGACACGAGATACCACATTTTGTTAACTTCTTTGCACAACCACCTTCCAGCATCAAGAGAATAAAAAATAAAAAATAAAAACCAAAGAAACCCAGAAGTTACAATGAACGAGGACAATTAATGCAAAGTTAGCATTTTCACTTTTTTTTAAAGCCTTTTCTCGTTTGTTCAATCCATGTGCGTCAATTTTTTTTCTTTTTTGTTTTGTCTTTACCCAATCTTCTTTATGGAAGCCATATTTATTTATTTATTTTTTTTAATCCCATGAACAATATTGGCAACTCTAAAGAAAGTGTATACAGCAATAGCAACTCCAAGGGAGTGGTGAAGAAGGTGATTGAGAAATATGTAGGGGAACTTGAAATGTTGGATAGCAAGCATGTGTTGAGGATTGATTTTGGAGGAGTTGGAGACTGTG